CCCATCGCTGCTCCAGATGCCCGAACCGCGTCCAGCGCGCCGCCGCACACCCACACATGGTTGAAGTAGCCCCCACCAATCACATGAGCGCAGCTGCGGCCATCGCGCCGCAGCAGCCAATGGCAGCCGCGAGATTATCACCGTCCGTTGCCAGCCAACATCTTTCTCCCCTTCGCGCCTTCCCACTCCAACGCCGCGTTTGCCCGGCGTCCCTTCACTTTTCGCTTCTGGCTAGATCCGCTTGCCTGCATGCAATAGATATGGCGGGCGACGCGTCTTCCGCGCCCCTCCGCGCCGACCGGCTAATCGTTGCTTCGCAACACGGTGTCCGGGGTCCCTCGCCCGCGCCGCATCAGGCCGCCCGATCTGGCGCGTCTTGCCCCATCCGGATGGATATGGAGCGCGTGGACGCGCGTTGCAATCACCTTGAGGATTTAGAAGAAAACTGAAGCATTTTTAAAATTTTTAATGAAGGTAATAATAGGCCAAAAAAGGCCATCTTTATTGATTGGGAAAAAGAGTTGGAAAAGGTCAAGTGGATAGAAAATAAATCTATGGGGGAAAACAGCTTCCCAGACTGTGGCAAACAAAGCTTGCCTGTAGGGTGAAAAATTAAACTTTTTTGGTCACAAGGAGACTTTTTGTATTATAATATTGATTGCCGTTTTTTCTGACAAGATTGCTATTCTATTTATTGGGTTTTTTTGGTTCTTTTTTTCCAACAAATAAAGGTCTCCCTTTTTGTGGCCAATTATTACCCTCATTAGTGGATAGTGAGTGATCCATCAAGGCTCTTCCTAGTGTGATAAATCTTCAACTTGTGGCAGACAATGACAAGGCATTGGAGGAGATCTTGACCTGGATCTCACCAATCAACTATTTCAGGGAACAGGAGATCATTAGTGAATAATATGCGGAAAATACTGGTCACTGGATATTGCAAGATACAAGATTCTGTACAATGATATCTTCAAGGGGATGGCAGATCCTCTGGTGCTCAGGCATCTGTAAGATCACAAACACAGATTCCAGTTACAAAGCTGACTAAACTATATATAGCAGATGTAGGGCAGACTGTTCTTGTGTATGATTTTTTCACTCACTGGTTGTCTTTCTGAATCTTTCCAGATCTGGAGTTGTTGACTATCTTTTGCAGTAAAGTCAGGATGGAAATATAGGCATTGGATGGTGTACATCAATTACAAGAGCTCAGAGGTTCAGACTCACAGAAATCTACTTGGTGCCCTTTCTCAGCCTTTAGCTTTTGAAGACAACTTTGTGTCTGTAAAAGCCTTATATGTCCATCACAAGACATGGGGCCAAGGGAACTGTTACAGATGTAAAGAAGTTACTCAAAAATCAAATCAAGGCTTCACAATATGAAACAGTATATATTATTATTGACGCACTTGATGAGTACTCTAGAAACAAGAATGTCCTTATATAAGACCTTCTGCAACTAGGAGATAACATTCAACTGACGATAACCTGCCAACCTCACATTCATCAACCATCTGATATATCAATTTCCACTCTGGTCATTCATGCATATAACAGTGACATTGAAACATATATTCAAAAAGGAATTCAAGATAGTGCGACCCTCCAAACATTTATATCACAAAAGCCAGGTTTGAAATATAGTATTCTCTCCCAGATTAAACAGAGAGCGGTTGAAATGTAAGTTATGTATATCATGTAATATTATTAAAAGAGTTCAACTTAAATTCCAACAGGTTCCTTGTGGCTAGGCTATAACTCCAGTCTTTCCTTGCAGCTTTAACACTGGAGGAGCTTTGTCAGGGGAACTCCCACTTCAGCCTCCTTCAGACTGTCCGAGTGCATCCAAGGCGCATCCAAGGCGCATCCAAGGCGCATCCGACCGGCGCCCCCTCGGACACTCCGACCTACCCTGACCCTCGTCCTCGGCCTCCTTCACCCGCATACTTAATCACCGATCCGTCAGACCCTAGCAGAAAAAATGAAACTCCACTCTATATGGCTGTATGTAGGGGGAATAAGGAAGCAGCTAGGATGCTGATAAATGCTGGGGCTGATTGTAATGCTATAGATAAGAGACAGGCAACTCTACTGCATAAAGCTGCATCTTGTAATAGATCAGATATTATGAAGCTGTTACTAGAGGCTGGTGCACACTATAATGCTAGAGACAGAGTTGGAAGCCCCACTTCATCATGCTATAACTCATGGTAATTTTGATATTGTTCAGATTTTGCTGGATTCTGGGGCAGATATTACATACAACTCCACTACACATAGCTGCTGCCTATGACAATCCATTAATACTGAAACTATTATTGGATGCTGGTGCAGACTACAGTATGATTGATAAAGAGCACAGAACTCCATTACATATGGCTGCAACCTATAATAATGGCCAGATTTCCCAGTTACTGCTAAGTGCTGGTGCCTCACTAAATGTTGTCGACAGACTTAATAGAAACCCACTACAAATAGCTACAAGCAACAATCATTTGGAAATCATTGCTCAACTGCAAGAAAGTACTGACCCATTACCTGATTAGGAAATTCAGCAAAGAAAAGTTAAAATCTTACCCAATTGGAACACTTTGGGACCAAAGAATTTGGCTGTGACCTGTGACCTGCTGAAATATTTTGGCCAAAAAATCTGATGTCACCGTGACCGGCCTAATCGAATGAAATGGGTCAGTATTTAATGTTAAGAATACTTACCAGAGCATCATGCAGCTTATTTCAACCTAATAATAAGTATTGAATAATTAGTAAAAATGAGGGTAAATACTTTCTAAGTCTTATGGCAGCACCAAGGTTCCAGTATGTAGGGGGGGGGATATAAGGACAACCCCAAAGACCTGAGATCAAGGTCCTAGCAGGGGGAGGATCTAAAGAGAAGAACCTCTAAGGGCCTGCCTGGGCCCTGCTAGATAGCTGACTATATACCATGCTCTTCATATGCCAAGTGTGATTGTTGCTTGGAGAAGCATGCCTATGTCATGTGATGGGCCAGGTCCCGGGGAGATTGTCTAGAAGACTGGCAGGCACCAGCAATGATATACCTGATAAAGTCAGCAGGGCTGGAAATGAAGCTAGAGGAAGACAGAGATGTCTTTGGGGGGCAAAGGAGAGGTTCCCTTGACAGGTCCATATCTATAGTTAGCTAACTTAGCAGTAGCACCAGGCACTGCAAGTTCAACATTAGAGAGTTTGCTAATAAGCCACCACAGCCACCCAGTGGCTGTGGCATCTTAGGAACTAGTCAAGTAATTTGTTAGAAATTTGTCTGCACTATTATGTTCGATAGAAAATGTTTTATAACTTTAACCTAGGACATAGTTAAGAAAATGGGAAATTACTAGACGTCCACAGCCACTGTATGGCTCATTGCAAACTCTCTATTCAAGAATCATCAATGGTGGCCATGCGTGTAAGGGCGACCCTGAAGACTCCGATGAAAGCCTAGCAGGGGAGGATCCAAAGCGTGAATAAAAGCTATGGAAATACACGGAGGGACTGACCTAGCAGGGGAGGATCCAAAGAGAAGAAACTCTAAGGGTCCGCCTGCTAGGGCGCCAACTATATACTGGTCGTCCGTAACTGCCGACGTAGAGCGCAGAAGGCCTGAGCGGCGTCGCAGGCTCTGTCCCAAGGTGATCGTTGGGAGGGTCTTGACGGATCGGTGATTGTGCGGGCAAAGGAGGCCGTGGACGATGGTCGGGGTGGGTCGGAGCGTCCGAGGGGGCGCCGGTCGGATGCGCCTCGGATGCGTTCGGAGGGTCCGAAGGAGGCCGAAGCGGGGGTTCCCCTGACAATGCGGAAGAAACCAGGGACACAGTCAGTTCCACAATAATAATACAGCCAGCATATGTGATAGTGGCCTGACAAGCCGATGTTTATTCCTTTTTTTTCTTATAAGATTGCTGTTCTACTTATTCGGTCTTGTAATCCCTACAAATAAAAGTGCCCCTTTTTGGGTTATTATTACCTTGATTAAGTAATTTTAAAAAAAAAAAATCTGCTACCCTCACTCCACCGTACCCTGACACACTTTGCCTTGTGCAGCTAGATCCGTCGGCGCCGCCCACCGCCATATTGATGACCATGATACCGCCCATCCCAGCTAGATGTCTCCAGGGTCCCGATATCCGCCGTCGCATCACACCGCCCGATCTGGCGCGCCTTTCCCCATGCGGATGTGCACGCTTGGTGCGGATCGCTATCTTATCGATGGAGGAACTGACAGATCGCGGACGGCTTGTCCAAGCCTGAGGTATCACAAACATAGGGGATAAAATAAGATACAGAATACATTAAATAAGCCGAAAATAACACGTCAGATATCGTTCTCTCAAAGGATCCCTCCGACGGCGTTGCCCGCGGGCGCGATGTGCGCCGCGCCGTCACTGGGCTTCTCGGGAACAGCGACCTCGACGATAGGCGCGTCGGCGCCGGCGACAGGGACGGTGCCCTGGGGGTGTTTGCCCTTATCAGGGTGGTCGTGGTGGGTGGGGTGCACAATCTTGTCAACGAGCGCGCCAAGGCCGTGTTTCTTGTGCTCTTCCTCCGGTGGAGGCTAGAAACTGTTTCAGATAACGCTTACAAAAAGGGATCGCGGTAGCGCACCTGCGTTGTCTGCGCTGTGGTTGTCGCGTGTGAGGTGGTGTTATCGGTGGCGGAGGACGACATTGTGGTGTTTTAGGCGCGGCTAGATACCAGTGGGGCCGTTTTTATACCGCGCTATCATTGGCTCGTCGTCATTGGCCAGATCCACATGGACGGGCGAGAGCGCTCGGTGGGGCGTCTAGAGTGATGTCATGCGCGACGTAGACGCCGTTCGAGAGCCTTCTAGCTCAGGCCAGGAACGCCATCGCGGCTAAAAACACGGGAGCCAATGACGCGCTTCCACATGGTGCTCGGAATCGTCCGGCCGGTCTCGCCGACATCTTGATCATCAATACTGATGCGTGGACGTGTACATGTACACAGCCACTTTCATTTTTCCCATCGGACCATCGATGGACGACAGGTACGGTTGAACGGCTTGAGCTCCCTGTCCTCATGTTGGACTGTTGCGCAGCGCGAGTGGCACGCAACTGCCACAAGAGCTCATCGACTCGATCCTCGACAACGTCTACAAACAACAAGACCTCCGTGCATGTGCCCTGGTTGCGCGGTCGTTCCGGCTGCCGAGCCAGCGCAAGCTGTTCGAGCACCTCTCCCTGCACCCCGAGGCGCTGCACGGAGAGCCCGCCTCAATTGCGCACTTCGAGCGCCTTCACGCCATCTTCATCGAATCACCCCATCTCGCCAAATTTGTCAAGAGCCTGGACCTCCGCGTGTTGCGAGCGGAGAACCTGCCGCTCATGGAGACCGAAGTCGTCCTTGATATCCTCGGGGCGTTATGCAATGTTGTCGGGCTCGATATTCACGCCCCTACCGTAAAGGCCCCCCGGTTGGCTGCTGCACTGGTCCCTATGATCGGTTCGGCCGGGCTCAAAACGCTCTCGTTGCGGAACGACACCGATATCCAACTACTCAAAGCACGTGAAGGCGATCTGCAGACGCTGAGAACTTGAAGCTGAAGACATCCAGCTTCGTCGTCATCGCGGCATCCAGCATTTCGCTGTTCGACCACATCTACGCGCGTGTCGATATCCAGAATCTGACCCGCCTCGAAATATCGTCCTACACATCGGTTGAACTGCACGCCGCAGAGCTGCTCGTGCAAGCGGTCAATATCGAGGATCTAACCCTGGGCTTATACTTCTTCCAAATCAGTAATATCTCGATTCCATTTATGCCCTCCCTATCTCACGTAGTCCCCAGACGAGCAGCCGCACTTCCTGGACATCTCACCGCTCCGTAAGCTCCGGGCGCTCAAGTTCCGACTCGCGCCGCTGCTTGCATACGAGCGGCCCTTCAACACTGTCCTGCCCGCATGCACCATCCTGCGCAGACTGCAGTCTCCCACCACGATTGAGCACATTGCACTTTCGTTCCAGCTATATCTTGAGACGAAGCAGCCGCATGAGGTCCTGCAGGAATCGCGAGCTTGTTCCGGGGGTGATGTTGGGGCGATGGGTCGGCGGCGTTTCGCGCGTGACACGTAATACATATTTGTAATGATCGGAATACATCGGACCCGCCACGAAACCGGTCCGCGTGGGTGACATAAGCCGCCGGCTTGCTTTCTCCTTCTCCCTTTGCCCGATTCCAGCCATCGATGAGTGATCAGACCAAGAAACGCGGTCGGGGTGGTCCTAGAGATGGTTCTGGGCGACCCCCCAAGACAGCACGCCATGACACAGCCACAGATCCGAGTACACAAGCATTTCTCCCTTCTATATTAACTACTTATCCAATCCTCAGTGAATGTAACTACCACAGCACTTCCCACTGGGTCTTCAGGGGCAACATCTTCATTCTTTGGTCCATACAACACAAACCATGCAGTTCCTCGTGTAAATGCAGGATCATTCTGGTCTACTGTTGCAGGTCTGCAAGAACATGAACCCAATGTCTCTACACAAAATTCAGAGACTGATGGTATGTCCAAATCCAGTTCTATTGTTTGATCTAATCAATTCATAGTCCCTTCAAGCCTTCCAGCTTCAGAGTTTGAACAACTCAACCAGGACATAACATTTGTTTTAGAGGATGATGAACATGCAGATATTGCCAGAGGCAATATAGAAGTTGACTCTAGCTTAGCAGAAGATATTCCTGAAACTTCTGATGAAAGTGCTGCAGAGAAGGAGACTGAAGCTGCTGAACCTAAGCTTTCATCAAGCCTTCATGACTACTTGACAGACATCAAGGATAAAGTAGTAAAACAGATTAGGAACCATAAAATGCCAAAATGCTATCAGCGTGGGGATCTTTTTGAACGCGGACCTCATCCTATATTTGCACTTCAACGTGGGCGCAATTCAGCAGATGGTTTTGGCCCAAGTTTGGTATTTCCTAGGGATGTTTGTATCTGGTATCCCCCAGCTCTCCCAGGACATCCTGATAAATTCAAATGCACTTGTGGAGGCTATCTTACTTTACATGGTAACTATTATTCTTTTTCTAGTAATATATCAATTAATTTATAAATAGGGTTTAATCATGAGCCTATTGCCCGGTGTGTTCGAGCTATGCCGGCTGACTTTTTTTTACTTACCAACCGCTTTCGGCAAGTTGTTTTCTGTTTTTTATATAGACTTTCAAGATTAAATTTGGAATAGATGTGATGATCGTCAGACAGAGTCACCTGGTTGTGGTAAAACCTATCAGGGAACTGATCCACATATTCTCCAACAGTTACCTAGATTTGTGCAAGAAGCATTTCCTGGTAAGATAATAACTGGTATATGCTACATAAAATTGAAGAAAAAAATATATAGCTTATATTTCTGCTCGTGAGGCAATCTCCAAGTTAATGATGTGGCAGATGAAAAATACCTTTGCAACTAGATTTGGACCTGCTCCCTTTGCAGATTTAGTTTCAGATATTCAACATAGGTGGCATGCTGAAAAAGAACTCATGTACTATGCTGCAGCAGAGTTCTATGGCCAATATGCAGTACCACAGTTCTCACCATTCAATGATGCTAATGGATATGCTGGATACTTACCATCAGTCTCTTATATCAGAGCAATGTTCACAGACTCTATATTTTCTACACGTGTCTTTGTGGAGAGGGATATGGCCAGCTTGTCTTGCACAGTTGCCAAATCAGATCATACTTTTGCAGTAAGCCTATATATGATCAAAAACAGGAAAAATTAGACTAATAATTTATGCTTAGCTTTTAAAATATACAGGTCGCTTAAAAGGACAGCGTATATTTACAGCTGCATACACTCTGCTCAATGAGTGGGAACAAACCAGAGGACATGTTTTAACTTTAACAAAGTCCTTATCATTTGTTCAAGACTTTTATAAAAATATCCAGGAAAGCTTGAAGAGAAACAATCATCCACCTATTCAAGCACATTATACAGACTCCCCTCAAGGTGAACATAATCCTACTTATTTTTTAGATCAAAGATTGATGTGATTGCATAATTTAGTTGAACGGCAATTTTTTGAATCTATAAATCCAGCAATGACACTGAATGTTGAGCTTGTGACACAATGTGTCACGGATAAGACCCGGCCCGTCCGCTCCGGCGCTGGTGTCGGGCCATTGCGGGCCTGCAACACGCAGCACGTGACGACGGGGAACATGCGCCCCAGTAGGAGGAACGCACACGTGGGAAGCACGTGACCGAGAACGACGTGTCGAGCCGTCGCTGAGCCCAACTCGACACAAGGGGACTGGGGAGGAGTGCTAGGAGGTCAGGAGTAGCGCCTGGCCCGCAAGGGATGTACGATCGTCCCCTCTGCGGCCAGGAACAGGAGTGAGGAGGAAGAGGAGAGGCCAGGGTGTCCGATCACCCCCTTTGCGGGCCCGCGTATATAAGGCGCGATAGTGTACCCTGTACTCTATCGCTTAGATCGTCTGAAGAACTACCTTACTCCGTGCGAGGAGACGCTATCGACTCATCGGGCCCGACACGACCCGATTCGAACCTTCGACCACCGACTACGGCAAGGGACCGAGTTCACGGGCCCTTTCGGTTTCGATCTACCCCGCCCGCCGTACTTGCGGGCCCGACTACCCGTCTGTTCTGTTCCGGGCGCGCGTTCTTAGGAGAAGTCCTTGCACGGCCCGACCCGCAGTCTGACACAATGGACTGATCTCCCTGTGTTTAAACACTCTTCAACAATCAAGATATGTGTCTCTTCAGATTCAATGGAAATAGAGGGCATGGCAAATGACATTCTAGCTGAGCTGGTTGAGCAAATTCCATCAACAGAAACCCGTCTCCTAGCATTGGTAGTTAAAACAGAGCAGACTGTTGGAACAACTCAGAAGATCCATATACTGCAACTGAGAACTCACAGTCATCTGTATATTTTCAAGGTATATATATATATATATATTATAATTGAAGTTTGGTGAATATTAATATAAATTCTTGATATAGATTTCAGATCTGACTTCACCAAGTGATTTTCTGCCATCTTTGACAGCTCTGTTCACAAATCCCTCTATTATCAAATTTGGCCATTCTATCAAGGAAAATTTGCAGGCTATTGCCAAAAGTTTTCAGCTCACTGATTTGGAGAAAATTTCAAAATCTAGGAATCCACCTATGCTTGATCTAGGACAATATGCCAAGTTGAAAGGAGTTATCAAAGATGCTAAAACATCTTTACATGAGATTGCAGGCACTACTCTGGGAAAATACTTTTCTGATACTGGTCTATCTGGATGGTCTTCTTCCTCACATTTAGGTGAACAAGAGCAGGAACATCTAGCTAATGAAATTGACTGTGTCTGGGAAATATGTGCCAATCTATTTACCCGTGACTCTGTTGGACTGCCACTTGTTGGTAATCAATCTCTTACTGAAGGACAACCAGTGCATCTACTTCATGGCTGTAAAATTGCACTGGAAGGTACAATCATTGGAAACCATGATGGGTTTTATAATGCTGTTATGGATAGCCAAGGACATACCAAACGGATCAATATATCTACAACCAGATCTTTTGTCAAAATTACAAAGGTATCTCTTTCTCATCAATAAATTTCCTAATCTGATTTATATTATCTGCTAGATTCTACTCCCTAATGCTTTGCATAAATTGCACAACCAAAGCTTGGACTGGATTAATACTCATGATGGAAAAATAGTTGTTACTACCTCACAGCTCCGTAGTCGGGCAATTACACCAGCATACCAGAGTTCTGCACAGTTACATCTGGGGATTCCTGCCCCACCAGCAGTTCTTGATACTGAGTCTGAGCCACAATTTGGACAGCAAGCTTTGGATATTACATCAGAAGATCCTATAATACAGGATACAGTCAATGACAGTGACAGTGACAGTGACAGTGATGAGGTTTGTATTTATATTTATGATCTAATGTGATTAATCTCATAACTTGCTTAGGACAAACATGAAGGTCAACCCTCTATCCCAGTTTCAGAAGTCCGAGAAAATGTGTCTGATCGTAACCTGGATGAGGCAAGTTTAGTCTATATAACTGTCTATTATTCTGAAACAATTATTATTTAGAGTTCCTCAGATCAAGATATCAGTCAAGAAATTGAACTGATGAACACTATCTTAGCTGCTCCAGAAAAGTTAACAACCAGGCTCCTTGATGATGCATTTCATTATATGGATCGTCTCATCTGACTGCTCTCAAAGAAGCATCCAGCTTTCCAACCATTTTGCCATGATTTTAGTGAAGCAATTTTTATGCGGGATAAATCAGATGTAGATGCAGTCCGTGCAGTACTAGAAAAGCACGGAATCACATGGGAATATGCACTGCGGACTAAGGCTGATGCCTTAAATCGGCGGATTCGCCGATATATTCCACCTCGTCATCTATTACTCCAGCGACTCCGGCTTTTATTCAAAGCATACTTCAAGCTGAATTCTCCTACAGATGGATATTTGTTCTCTACAGAAGCCAAACAGATGATTTTGTGTCTTATCACTACAGCAAAATTAGGCTATCTTTCAGAT